TCTCTTGTCTTTCCCTCTCGTCTCTTAGTTTCCCATAATAAACTATTTTGCATTCCAAAAGCATACACGACGGACGGGCTGACGGACGACCAAAACCGGTGCCGATCGAGTACGGCGACTCATTCCAATTCATCAAACATTGTTATTATTATATCAAGTGTCATATTCACACATCCACTTGAAAATTGACAACGGCTCCATTCGTCCTTAAGAAAAAAATAAAATTTGTTGTTTCCTGACAATTTTTGGCCGGGGACCGGTCGCCGGAGAAAGCCCGCAAGCAAACAAGTTGCAAATAAATTATCTATTTCACTGCCCCCCGCTTGATTTCCTTAATTGCCGGCAAACTGATGATACTAATAATTAATTAATTAACAACGAAAGAACGAAGATGCAAGTCTTCCCATACGCTTGGAATTGTCGTCAGTAGATTTGTTGCTCAACGAAGATGATTGATGTCAAGTTATTTACCGCTTCAGAAAAACTTGGTCATTGGAACTTCGTAAGAGAATAATATAAAGATTCTATACACAATTAAATCTCTTTATAGAACATTGTTTCATAACAACTCAACTAAATTTTTTACATGACAACATAGTTTTTCATCGAGAGGTGAGTTCGTATTGCTGCTCTCTAACCATGCTACTCGACTTGCAACTTACCGATTGAAGTAGCTTAAAGTTTACAACCATATTCTATGTTATATACTATCGTTCGATAATATATACTATGAAACCATTATTGGATTAATAAGAGAATGGAACCTTCTCTCAACAAGTCGAGTTATTGGGACCAACTGGTTTATGACATGGTATCATAGCAGGTTTGGCCAAGTGGTCATGTGTTCGGATCTCTACGACCCCCAATATTAACAGTTGATTAAAGCACAAGGTACGGTGACCGCCTATGCAAACTTTAAACTCATGGGCTGTCTTTCGTTTAAGAGATCGAGCGTGTTAGAGAGTAGAATAAAATCAATTAAACCTTCTTTCAACAACTCGAGTTATTGAGACAACTTGTTTGTTTATTACTAGATTGATAACATCAAAGTGCAACTCATCCTCACACACTACGATCGACATGTACCACTGAGACTCGTTCTTAAAAGTTTGCATCAAGATCCAACCTTCCCCCAAATATTTTACTGCCTACCCCTCAAATGACATGCTGCTACGTACGTACGCGTCATGTCTCTAATTAGCCACCCGATCGACGATCGTGCCGTCGAACGTCATACATTACAACAACAAAACCCAAACGTGCATGTATCTTTCGTATGGATTAATAGACGGATTTGACTTGTTCTAATGAAAAGACTTTCGTACGGGTAATGGAAATTATTAAGTAATTAACTAAGTAATAAGGGGCGGTTATGCATAGTGTGGTGTATTATTGATCATGTATTTAGCCCTTTGGCCTATGTAGTTTGTATAGCCCAACCCATGCGCATACTCACATCCACTCTCTCTTCCTCTTCTTCTTGTGGCCGACCCTAGCTAGGGTTTGTCTCATATATATATATATATATATATGTTGTGTAATTGTATTCCCAAACGGTTAAGTAATCGCAACAGTAGCTCGGAGAGTTTTGAAGACTCTCCCATAGATTAGTCCTGAACATTTAAGAATACCATATAAATATGTGTCTTTGTCAATCTTTAATTTCCGACCACTATGGCTAACAATGTTCGCATCCAACAATCCAATTTGTTATACACATGACATTCAGATGTATATAAATTTCGAACTCATATGAGTAGGGTTTCGTTTGAGAAGTCGTGTTAGTGAATAATATTGTAGCTATGGTAGTCTAGAAGCAGTACTAATAGACACCTAAATTTCAAACTTTTGACTTTGGGAAGGGAAGATATATATATTATTAACATGTAATTATGACTCTATGATTAGGTAATGGTCCAACCGTGTCGATCGACATTTCATTTGGGTTCCCATCTGATTTCCATTTTTCCAACTTTCATGATATGTTCATGCATGTATCCATCACATATTATTATTGTGCCGATCATAAATATTGATAGGTGCATCTCTTCATGCTTTGAATGGCATATCACTTTTGAATCTTTGATGTGATCCAATTGAATAGGTTTTTTTTTTATTGGTCAACCAATTCAATAAAGGTGACCACACACGACAATGGTGTTAGACAATGCAGTGAAAAGCACGATTCTCTCTACAAGCGGAAAATGAGTAAAATCGTAAAGCGTAGAATTAAAACGTAAAAGCGTAATTTTTTATGCATGCTCTAAAATAACTGTAAATCTGTTAAGTACGACATATACTATGTAAAATATGAGTGCGCAGAACTTAGAAAAGTTAATAAGTACTTGCAATTCATGCCTAAAGTAGAGCAATTTATAACCTCTTAATAATAAGTTCATAAACATAAATTTTAACAATAAGCCACCTTTCCCTCTATGCTAATGAATTTGGGAAGAGTAGCTTGTGAATTAGATTACTCTCATGAAGCTGGGAATACATCCAAGTACCTGTTATGTATCTTTTAATCTCAAATGTATCATATTGTTGGTAATTTATCATTAAAATATACTTTTTATAATTAATGTTATGCAAAGAATACTCATTTAGTGGCGTAAAAGCGTAAAGCGCTTTGGTGAACTAGAAGCGTAAAAGCGTAAGCTTTTAAGCTTTAAACGCAATTTAGTCTGATTTTGATTTGTACACGAAAGTTTTTACGTGGAAACGAAAGCGTTTTGCTGACCTAGAAGTGTAAAACCACAAGTTTTTAAGTTTTAAAGAGCGATTTTAACTGCATTGGTGTTAGAGGAAACCACAACTTGATGATCTATGAGTAGGGGTGTCAATTCGGGTTTGATTTTTCGGGTTTACCCGAAACCGACCCGATTATATATATTTTCGATTTTTTGGGTTCGGTTCATTTCGGGTTTCGGGTTTTTCGGTTTTGGGTTCGGTTTTGCTTATCGGTTTTTCGGGTTCCGGCTAAAAACCTCCAATGAATAGAACTCAGCCCATATTTTTAGGCGTTCGGGTTTTTGGGTTTCGGTTTTGCTTTAACCGAACCCGAACCCGATAAGAAATTTTCGGATTTCGGGTAACTGAAACCCGCAAATCCTTATCGGGTTCGGGTTCGGTTTTAGTGATTTTCGGTTTCGGGTTTTTTCGGGTTCGATTTGGGTAACCGAACCCGACCCGAACTGACACCCCTATCTATGAGTCTACATTCTCGAGTTAATAAGTATTATTCTCTTTTTTGCCTATATAAGAGTTTATCAGGAGCAGTATTGTCGAAAATTTTCGAATAACTTGGAATATTATTGGGGTTAATTTCAAAAAGTTGTGTCTTAACCACGTTATATATGTACGTAGCTCGATTTCCGTTGAATAAATGAATACAACGGTTACTCACGTACTTTATCGAATTGAAGATTACGAGGATTAAAAGATTTGAAACTCACAATTTGACTCCCAAAGTCAAGTCCATTGTGCTTGTATGTAGTGCACCGATCATGGAAGTTCCACTCCTTCCATTCCAACATTGTTTTTTTCTAGCTTTCTTTTCCGGTCAACATGCATATTTTTAATTATATGATTACTAATCTATTATTACGACTTAATGGAAAATTAATCACCTTAAAACTACACGTACGAATCATCACATCACATGCCCACCTAACCAAATCACCGATCGACTTCATGAGAATACTTCAAAATACCAATTTGCTTTCCTTTATACAAAAATAATAATTATCTATAATTCCCAAATTCCTTCCGTATTTTAAAATGTTGAAAAAGAATTCATCCTATATAATATTGCAAGCTACTGACTTTCACTTCACATGCCGTGTTTCTTCCTCCTTTTCCCCCGGGAAACTTCTAATTGGACCGGTTCTTCCATTCCAACAATATGTCCCAATTTGGCAATTTTTAAAGCAGAAATTAGTGTAATGCTTTTAGCATATTTCCCAATTCCAAATACCTTTTTAGCATACAAAAAAAAAAAAAAACTAATGTAATGATTTCGAACAAGTGATTAGTCTATGATTCTATCGCTAATACTTACATGGAAGTCACATATTTGAATTTATTGAATACCATGTGACAGTAAATATAAAATTGATGGTATTTTTATGAATGAATGAATAAAATAGTGTAATGATTGTTTGATATTCCACTAATACTTTTGAAGTCTTTCCACACTATTGCATATATTTCCACTATATTTTACGTATATGAGACATGAGAGTACTTTGCACATTAATTACCTTCACGAATTCATAAAAAACGGTAACTATATTGTAAACGACATTGTTCATTGAGGATGCTCCTAAACGCTTATTTTGTTGATTGGAATTATTCGGGTCTTCGATATTGCACAAACCATAAGGTACCTAATGCCTATATATATCGATTGATTAATAACACAAGTTAAAACATCTTCTTTTATCCTATTCAACAAAATAAGAAAAAGGGTTAAGTTGAGTGGGGTAACTCAATTTCCATTTTACAACTCAAATCGTGATTCTAAATAATAAAAAACAATTTAATGCATATACATCTGTCTCTTCATTGAAAAAGTCTCTTACTTGATGGTCTCTTACTTGCAACATCAAGAACTCAAACTACACTTCAACACAAACATCAAGGATTAAGGAAGAAGTCCTATCGTGCAATTCACGATCACGGGTAATCAAGACCATTAATCCCTAATTAATGAGGTCAAACACAAAACAAAAAATCACCATTGACCAATAAACCCACGAAGTCACACATGTTTGGTGAAAAACTCCCTCGACGCGGAATTACAAAGTGAACGGAAAGAAAGTCACTTTTCCCGGCAGCCGAACAAGAAAGAATCAACTCCCCCGCCGGCCGCCAGGCCAATCTCCTCAATCCATTCCCTTTCAGACCTCCCGCCACGCGTCGCCCATCCAACGGCTCACCTTCCGCGCCACATCCCATTTCTTCGTAGTATAAATTCCCCCGACGTGAACACATTTAGAACCTCAAACTCAACTCAACAAACCATCAAGAAAACAGAGGAAAAGGAAAACAGAGCATCCTAACAAAAACAGGGGCGACCAATTTTTCTCTCTCAGAGAACACAACAATGGCGGTGTCGAGATCAAAGACGTTAGCTTTCGCAGCAATCGTGATTGCCGCTCTTCTCCACATATCCGCCGCTCAGACTCCTCACACCGTGGGAGGAAACGCCGGATGGACCATCCCTCAGGGCGGCGAATCGGTTTACTCCAACTGGGCTTCCGGCAATTCCTTCGCCGTCGGGGACATTCTCGGTAAGAAAGCCTTTTAATTAACATCTACAATCTTTTGTAACGATTGGGATCAAAATAAAGTTCTAATCTTTGTTGTCTTTTTTTTTTTCCCCTTTCAAAATCAGTGTTCAATTTCGCTGCTGGAGCTCACGATGTGACCCAAGTGAACAAGGCAGACTATGACTCCTGCTCGGCGGCGAACCCGATGATGACTTCCACGACAGGTCCGGCGAGAATTACCCTGAACTCAACCGGCGAGCATTACTTCATCTGTGGCGTCCCCGGCCACTGCAGCGCCGGTCAGAAGGTCACCGTCAACGTTCTTGCTTCGACTACTGGGCCTTCTCCTGCTCCCCGCCGGGCTCTCACCCCTGCCGCTGCTCCCACCCCGTCCACTTCCCCTGTTGCCGGCGATGTCCCCTCGTCAGCACCTGCCCCGACTCCTTCCACTTCCCCTGTTTCCGGCGATGTCCCGTCGTCGGCACCGGTTCCTTCTGCGAGGAGCCCGATGACTTACACCGTCGGCGATTCTTTCGGGTGGAACATTCCCACGAACGGTGCTGCTCTGTTCCAAAACTGGGCCGCCGGCAAAGACTTCATGGTCGGCGATATCCTTGGTAAGTACAAAGTACTACTTAATTAAACTAACTGTTGTATGAAATTAGTTAATTAGAATGTTAATTAAAAAATTGACTTCTTAAAATATAAATTAATATGCTCTGAATTGAAATTTCCTCTGCTGCAGTTTTCAACTACACCGCCGGAGCACACAACGTGGCGGAGGTGACCAGCGACGCCTACACGGCGTGCACAACGACCAGCCCGATCTCCCTGGACAGCAACGCGCCGTCGAGAATCACGCTGACCACCGCCGGCGAGCACTTCTACCTTTGCGCCGTTCCCGGGCACTGCTCCGCCGGCCAACAGCTTTCCATTAATGTCACCGGCGCGGCCAGCACAACCCCTGGAACTCCATCGCCGTCAGGTTCGACCACTCCGTCGTCCCCTGCCGGTGATGTCGCTCCACCGTCGCCAAATTCCGCCACCTCCGTTGCCGGCGTGTCGGCCGCCGCGTTTTTGTCCGTCTTCGTAGCTCTGTTGTTATAGATGGAGTGATCAGTAGAGATACCTACGGCCGGGCATGTGATTTTTTTTGTTTTGATCTGTATTAGTGTTGGTTCTTGATTGTTATATAGATTGATTTCTCACATACCTCATATTAATAAAAGCAATTTTTGTAGCTCAAATCATCAAAGACTGAATTACTGTCTTGCATTGCATCTACACTCTCTACTCTCTACTCTCTAGTCCATGCTCATCGACTCTTATTCTCCATTCGACTCATAGTCTCCGAAACTTTTAAACTTTCGCTCCAAGTCTCTAATTTGCTTCCACTTACGAGTAATTGTTCGACCGCATGAATTGCACGATATAGAAGGGCATTACTATTCGTCGCCCTAAAATACATAATGCGTCGCCCTATTTTTTACCAAAATGACTCAAATATCCTTAATCAAGTTTTGTTTTTCCCGTTCCACATCGCACAGCCGCAGGTTGGAAACCCGTCGTCAAGGAGCTCGGGACGATCGCCGCTGTAATTATTCAAAAATGAATATAGGCGACGACAGTTTCTTCTTCCTCCTCCTTGCCTCCAATTCCAATCGACTCTCATCACTATAGCCTATTATTCAGAGGACTTTACAGATCCGGACATGTTTCGTACCCGCCGTTGGAATCGCGGGACGGTCAACCAGTTCGTCGCCTGGAAACATAAATAAAAAAACAAACTAACCTAAATCCCCCTTCCTCCTTCGTTCCCTTCCTCTAGCTCAGTGCCAACTAAAGAATCTGGCAGCATCAGGACAGTAGGGAAATGGACATGTATATATAAGATCATGACATCCAGTGTCTGTCTGTTTCCATTTTTTCTTGTCGGCGATAGGAATCTGGCAGCGGCAGCAGTTGGCGGAGGACAGAGGAGTTCTGCGGCGGCTGGCAAGGTAAGGATTGTTTAGGTTTTGGTTATAAATTGTGGCCAGAGGGTAAAAAGGTCAATTTGGTGCATTTTAGGGCGATAAAATTTGAATTTTAGGGCGACAAATAGCAATTCAGATATAGAACTGGATTAATTGCAAGTTTGGTCACTGGAATTAATAAAATGTTCATGTTTGCCACTAAAATTAGTTTATTCCATTCATGGTTACTAAAATTAGTTCAACCGTTCAAGTTTGATCACTCTCCGTTAGCCTCCGTTAACTTTTGCTGATGTGGCAGTCAACTCTAATAGTTGACCGTTAAATGTATGACGTGGCAATTAAAAAATTATAAAAAATAAAATTTAATCTCCTTATAATTTCCACCTCATTATCATCATAAATTAAAAAATAAATAGAAAATAAATATTGTAACTATACTCGACTTCCCTTTGCAGCTCGGTGTCACGAAGCGCCGCCACTTTATCTTCCACGCACCGGTTGGCGCCGCCACGACGATCGCTCCGTGCTCCCTTCCGCCTTCACATTCGATAAAACTCTAAAAGATTCATCCCCAATATGAGCATTTCCAGTCTCCGATTCCTCTCTCGTTCCAATGAATTTATCTTTCCGGCCTGATTCAGGCACGAAACAGGTCTACGAGGAAGTGGCTGTTGAAGGAAGCTCGATCAATGGCCTTGATCAAGCAACTCAAACAGTACAAATCAGTGATTTGGAAAGAAATCAAGACGTGATACACTACCATTTGTACTCCCAAGTCAAAGATAGAAAGTTCCTAAAAGAGACGTTGAAGAAAGTAGAAGTATAAAGGGATGGATCATGGACCAGCAACTTCACCTTTTTCAATCGAACAAGAAGAGAAGAGCTGGAAATTAGCTAGAGTTATTGTTGTGAAAAAGAGAGCATATCGGAGTGATTGCTTAGCTGACTAGGTTACTGTCTTGCAGTCGTGAGTGAGAGTTTAATCTGGTTATGGTTATTTACCAGCAGGAGGCTGAGAGTTTCTGTTCAGATTTGTAACAGGAAACTTGCAGAACCAAGTCATTAGTCATACGTTGAAGATCTCAAGAAGAGATCCTTCAACCGTGGATTAGTCAGTACAGGAATCCTTATTCTCCCTGTACTGGATACCACGTAAAAATTCTATGTGGCATTTACTTGCTTTCGTTTTTCATTTTGATTAACTATCTATCTGTGTGTTCTTGAGTTCTGTTTGGTACATGGAAGGTGTCCCTGAGTCGAAGAGTTGGAGAAGAAGAAGTTTTATTCTTCATTCCTTTTTGACTGGGATAAGGGCCTCAAGTTCGGGGCTTCAAAATCTCTTTACTGGGCCGAAACTTGAAAACTGAACAAACAGACCCATTACTCATTTTCTTCTCTAATCATAGATTGAATACAGTCTCTTCTTCGTCTTTCATTCATTCGCAAACCAGTCTCACCATTCTATCTCAAGTCCTGTTCTAGGGTTTTTGATTTTTCAGAAAGAAAGTACAAGCAAATCTCCCTCGGTCTCGCGCTCGACCTCCGCTAACACGTGGTATCAGAGCCCGGCTCCGAAGTCAAGAGGTTTAACAGCCCACGGAGAAGATGAGTTCGAGTTCAGTGAGCGGAACTGGGATTTACATGGATGATGGCTTTTCGCAAACCTGACCGCCACGGTTTGAAGGTGTACACTATGGCTACTGGAGGAATAGAATGGAGCTATTCATTGGATCCACTGACCCAGACCTATGGAACATTGTGATGGATGGGCCATTGGAAGTCAAGGAAGCTCGAGGAAAGTGGACAGATGAAGACAAGAAGAATTTCCAGCTCAATTCAAAGGCAACAAACCTAATGTACTGTGCAGTAGGGCCTGAAGAATACCACAGAGTCACAGGTTGCAAAACAGCGAAAGAGATTTGGGACAAGCTTCAGATCGCTCATGAGGGTACTTCTCACGTCAAGATCTCCAGAATCAACAGTCTTAAACATGATTTTGAATCCTTCATCATGAAGCCAGAGGAATCAATCAAAGAAATGAATGATCGTTTCACAACTATCGTCAATAGTCTGAGGAATTTGGAAGTTGAATATCCAAGTGGTGATCTTGTTCGCAAAGTTCTCTGGGCTCTCCCTAAACGTTGGACGCCTAAGGTGACTGCCATCGAGGAATCTAAGGATCTCACCAGACTCAGCTTAGATGAGCTAATAGGATCCTTGATAACTCATGAAGAGAAGTTAAGAAGAGAAGAAGTTGATGAGCCTAAGAAGGATAGACGAAATATTGCGTTCAAAGTTTCATCATACGAATAAGATTTGGAAGGATTAGAAGACATGGAAGATGAGGAATTAGCACTGCTGAGCAAACATGTTGCTAGACTGCAAAAGATGCGACGTGACAGAAGAAAAGGGAATTCGCCAAGTAAGGCAGAAGAGAATAAAGATAAAAAAGAAAGAAATCGGTTTGGATATAAAAACAGAAGGGAAGGCAGCATAGAAGGCAGATTGTCCACTTACAAAGAAAGCCTATACTGCAACTTGGAGTTGCAGTGAAGAAGAAGAAGAAGAAGAAGAAGAAGTGTGCAGACAGGAAGCGTATATGGCCATTGATGCAGAATTAGAGGATGAAAACATCAACCAGGTAAAATCCTATTATTCTGATTCCTTCAGTGAAGATGATCAAATGTTAGAAACTATACGAGATATCCAACAAGAGTTTGCTAATGTAAAGTAAAAACACAACAGAACTAAAGCTGAATTTGAAACCTTATTATCAAACTATGAATCACTCAAAACATAGAATCACAAATTGGAAAACACCTTGAAAAATGTCTTAAACGAAAATGAAACTCTTAGAACTAAGCTTGCTATTTCAGAGGGCAGAGTAAGATACCTAGAAAGAAACAAAAACTTAAGTCTATCTAACAGGTTCGGTAATAGGAAGATAATTGAGTGTTACTACTGTCATAGACTTGGCCATCATATAAGCAAGTGCAGAAAACGCATTGCCAAAGAAAATAAGATCAAGAATGGTTCAAGTCTTACTCATGGACACACTGAATGTTCACATAAAAAATATCAGGGCTTGAAAGAACCTAAACTAGTGTGGATACCTAAAAATAAGTAACTCGTTTCTTTTGCAGACCTGTCTCCAAGTGAGCATGGAAGGCAGTGTTTGGATTCTTGACAGTGGCTGCTCACATCATATGACTGGGGATAAAAAGCTTTTCACTGATCTCATACACTAGGAAAGAGAGGTAAAGTCTATTTTGGTGATAATTACAGTACAGAAATACTGGGAAAAGGAACCATAGGTAACTCACCATCTATAAGCAATGTTATGTTTGTAAAAGACTTAAAACACAACCTACTTTCTATAAGTCAGCTGTGTAAAAATGAAAACCGAGTCATCTTTGAACCAAATGGATGTGTTGTTGAAAATATCTTAATAAAGAAGACTCTGTTTACAGGCAAACGAAGAGGGAAATTGTTTATTATTGACCTAAATGACAAAAAGACCTTCAATGAATCATGTCTCATAACAGTTGATAAAGATGATCAACTTGAATGGCATCGCAAGTTAGGGCACATAAGTGTAGGTATTCTGTCTAAATTGGTAAACTTAGAACTAGTTAGAGGTATTCCTAAGATTCATAGCAAGAAAGAGTTCTTCTGTGATGCGTGCACAAAGGGAAAACACACTAGAACCTCCTTCAAAACTAAACAGATCTTGTCCACAAATAGACCACTTGAGCTACTACACCTAGATCTCTTTGGCCCCAGTAATGTAATGAGTCTAGGAGGAAAATATTATGCCTTTGTCATTGTTGATGACTTTTCAAGATTCACCTGGGTTTTATTTCTCTCAAGTAAAGATGAAGCCTTGTTGAAATTCAAAACTTTTGTCAAACAGGTTGAAAATGAAAAACAGTCTAAAATAATAAACATTCGGAGTGATCATGGAGGTGAATTTGAATCAGAAAAATTTGAAGAATTCTGTAACACGAATGGAATCCTACACAACTTTTCAGCTCCTAGAACACCTCAACAAAATGGTGTAGTGGAAAGGAAGAATAGGACTCTAATTGAGATAGGAAGAACCATGCTCAATGATTATGGAGTGTCAAAGAAATTCTGGGCAGAGGCCATTAACATAGCTTGCTACGTAATCAATAGAGCTCTAATTCGATCCAAATTAAACAAGACTCCTTATGAGCTTTGGAAAAATCGGAAACCTAATCTAAGTTACTTCCATCCCTTTGGCTGTAAGTGCTTCATATTAAATACAAAAGATACCTTGGAAAATTTTGATTCCAAGTCAGATGAATTGATTTTTCTTGGTTACTCTACAAACAGTAGAGCTTATAGGGTGTTTAATAAAAGGACTCTCAAGGTAGAAGATTCCATTAATGTTATATTTGATGAGTCTGTGAGTAAGATTGCAGAAGTAATAGATGATGATGATGATGACTTTGGACTCGGTGGCAACCAATTCAAGGACTCAAGAATAGTGAGTACAGAAACATTACCAACTACTGAGAGTACAGACTTGGACAGACCTGAAGCACCTCCTCACATACAGAAACGTCACCCCAGCTCACAAATCATTGGTGATCTAAATCAAGGTATGGTGACTCGATCCAAAGTTTATCCCGAGCATACTACTTTCATTTCTCAAATCTTACCAAAAAATATAGATGAAGCTCTAGAAGATGAATTTTGGACAACAGCTATGCATGATGAAATGCATCAATTTGAAAGAACCAGAGTTTGGGATATAGTTCCCAAACCTGAAAATAGAACTATAATTGGCACAAAATGGGTCTATGAGAATAAAACAGATGAAAGTGACATTATAATGAAAAATAAAGCTAGGCTTGTAGCTCAAGGGTATAATCAAGAAGAAGGAATAGACTTTGATGAAACCTTTGCACCTGTTGCTAGATTAGAAGCCATAAGGCTTCTCTGTGCCTATGCAGCAGCAAAAGGGTTTAAACTTTTTCAAATGGATGTCAAAAGTGCATTTTTGAATGGTGACCTAAAAGAAGAAGTTTATGGGTCTCAACCCCCTGGTTTTGAGAACTCAGAACATCCAGAATATGTTTATAAACTTAACAAAGCCCTCTATGGTCTTAAGCAGGCTCCTCGAGCCTGGTATGACAAACAAAGTCAGTTTTTGATAGATGATGGCTTTCATAGGGGAAAAGTTGATAACGCTTTGTTCATCAAGAGGTAAAATGGTCACACTCTGTTAGTACAAGTCTATGTAGATATTATATTTGGACCATCCTGTCCTGAGTTGTGTCGTAATTTCGAAAACAGCATGAAAGGAGCCTTTGAAATGAGCCTTATGGGTGAACTAAACTTCTTTCTTGGATTACAAGTTAAACAAACCAACTCAGGAACCTTCATAAGTCAAAGTAAATATCTTCATAACATGCTAAAGCGTTTTAATTTTGGAAACCTAAAGTCTGCCCCTACTCCCATGGGTTCTTCAACTAAACTATCAAAAGATGAAACCGGTAATAACGTTGATCATAAGCTTTTTAGAGGGATGATAGGTTCTTTAATATACTTAACAGCCAGTTGCCTAGATATAATGTATAGTGTGTGTGTTTGTGCTCGTTTTCAAAGTCAGCCTAAAGAGAGTCACCGATCTGTTGTCAAGAGAATTTTCCGCTATTTAGCTGGAACTCCTGATCTAGGACCGTGGTATTCTAAGCATTCTAGTCTAGACTTAGTTAGCAACACAGATTCAGACTATGCAGGCTGCGTGATTGATCCTAGAAGCACCTCTGGTGCATGTCATTTCCTCGGGTCTTCTCTCATTTCTTGGTTCAGCAAAAAGCAGAACTCAGTAGCGCTATCTACTGCGGAAGCAGAGTATGTAGCTGCTGGATTCTGTTGCACTCAAGTGCTTTGGCTGAAATATCAGCTAATTGACTATGGAATTTCCTTAGGATCTCTACCTATTTTCTGTGACAGTACCGGCGCTATAAACATGTCTAAGAATCCTATTCAACATTCTCGGACTAAACACATTGAAGTTCGATATCATTTCATTCGTGATTTAGTCCAGGATGGTAAGATTCACCTTGATTTTATTAGAACAGAGAGTCAATGGGCTGATATCTTTGCTAAACCTTTGCCAGGTGATCAGTTTCTACATATCAGGTGAGAATTAGGGCTATTCTCTCTCCAGGATCTGCCTAATTCTCAGTAAATCATTCTCTTACTTCTTCTGCCCTCTAATTGATCCTTCTTTCCTTTTCCTGATCTGCTAATGGATTCTAATCCTTCTGGAAACTTACCATGTTCCCTCTCGTCTTCCCTATAAGAACCTCAGACTTTGGGATCCTTCAGTCACTCATCCTCGTTCCAATCACAACCATCTTTTCTCAAAACATATCATTATCTCCATCATGGTGCTCAACAATCCTCAACTCCATCCTGCTGTTACCTTCTCCAACAAGGTATTCAGAAAGGATAAAGAGTTCTCTCGATATGTACGACGTTTTCGTGATCGTGCTATCTATCCTTCCTTCACCATCCAACCGTCTGCCTTTTCAATGTACGACATGGATATATCTGCCTTGATTCGCAACCTTGGTTGGGAGTCTTTGTTTGAAGATCAACGGTTCACCTATTGCCCCGAGGCTGTGAGGTTGTTCTATGTGAACCTCAAACGTGGATCTGGCCCTGACCTTTATTCCTTCAAAACCACGGTAGGAAACCTTGAGATCACAGTCACTGCTGACCTGCTTGCCAGTGAACTAGGGTTGCCACACAACGGCCTCAAGGCAGGTGATGATGGGCAATTTCATGACTACAATTTCGACTACCATCATGTCCATAACTCACTGGTGCATGATACTGGTCGATATTTTCCCAATAAACTTGACGTTGGGCATCTTCCTGATGATCTGCGTGTCCTTCACTTTTTCATCACTCGGATCTTGCTTCCCAGATCTCTATCAAGTGCCACCCTACTGCACACATCCGATCTATGGATCCTCTATCATGCACGCTCTAGTTAGCCTATCAGCTATGCATCCATGGTCTTCTGCCATCTTGTCAAATATGGAGATGACAATTATGATGGCTGGTTGCCTCTGGCACCTCTCATCACCCAGCTGCTTAGGAAGCTAGGTGTTGATCTTCGTGACAAGGTCACACTCTGGAACGTTCATGATGACCTGAAAACGCAACATGTTCTAGCTCGTCTTGACGCCAGCGTTGGACCCCGCAAGCCTGTCACTGGCTCAGGGGGAGAGGTTGCTGCTTTGGTCAAAGCTCTAGTGTCTGCTGCTGAAGTGGTTGTCGACCACGAACTAACTGGTTTCTCCAGTGAAAATCTTAAAGGGAAGCGGAAGATCCCCGTAACTACTCTAACATCTATGTCCACTCGGTTGAAACTCCTCAGAGATGGAGGGGGAGAAAGCTCATCCAGTATCAGGGAGGAGGACGAAGCCGTCGAAGAACTTGAAGAATTTGGGGATATCTCATATTATGACTCCCCTCCTCACTATCCCTTTTAGACTTAGTCTTAAGTCTCTTTTAGAATTCTGTCTAGTTTCTAGGTCTAAGTTATCTAGAACAAAAAGCAGCCCTAGCTGTTCCCTGTACTGCTTCTCAATTTCTCTAATGAATAAAGTTGCATCTTGAGTAGAAATTGAATCCTTTTTGTAGAACAGGCTGCACCGATTTGTTTGCTGAGTTGATGCAGGTATATTCTGAAGGCACCAGTTAAGGAGCCATTGACAAGCTTAGGGGGAGCATGTTGAAGGAAACTCGGTCAATGGCCTTGATCAAGCAACTCAAACGGTACAAATGAGTGATTTGGAAAGAAATCAAGACGTGATACACTACCATTTGTACTCCCAAGTCAAAGATAGAAAGTTCCTAAAAGAGACGTTGAAGAAAACAGAAGTATAAAGGGATGGATCATGGACCAGCAACTTCACCTTTTTCAATCGAACAAGAAGAGAAGAGCTGGAAATTAGCTAGAATTCTTGTTGTGAAAAAGAGAGCAGATCGGAGTGATTGCTTAGCTGACTAGGTTACTGTCTTCCAGTCATGAGTGAGAGTTTAATCTGGTTAGGGTGATTTACCAGCAGGAGGCTGAGAGTTTCTGTTCAGATTTGTAACAGGAAACTTGCAGAACCAAGTCATTAGTCATACGTTGAAGATCTCAAGAAGAGATCCTTCAACCGTGGATTAGTCAGTATAGGGATCCTTATTCTCCCTGTACTGGATACCACGTAAAAATTCTCTGTGTCATTTACTTGCTTTCGTTTTTCATTTTGATTAACTATCTATCTGTGTGTTCTTGAGTTCTGTTTGGTACAGGGAAGGTGTCCCTAAGTCGAAGAGTTGGAGAAGAAGAAGTTTTATTCTTCGTTCCTGTTTGACTGGGATAAGGGCCTCAAGTTCATGGCTTCAAAATCTCTTTACTGGGCCGAAACTTGAAAACTGAACAAACAGGCCCATTACTCATTTTCTTCTCTAATCATAGATTGAATACAGTCTCTTCTTCGTCTTTCATTCATTCGCAAACCAGTCTCACCATTCTATCTCAAGTCCTGTTCTAGGGTTTTTTTATTTTTCAGAAAGAAAGTACAAGCAAATCTCCATCGGTCTCGCGCTCGACCTCCGCTAACAGTGGCGAAGGAAGTCACTCTTTCCATCGTCCGCAAGAGTTTTAAGTTATAGGCGATCTTCTCTTCCATTATCGTAAGAGAGAAGGTGGAATGAATGTATATGATGTTTCTAGTGTTTTCAACTAGCATTTTCGTTTACGGCCAAACTAGCATTGGGAAGATGCGTACATTTTTTGCTACACCTACAGGTAATTTGCCAAAAGATAATAATTCTGAATTTCCCATGAGCTTTGATCAAGTAAACTGATTGGTTTCTCTGGGTATTTCATAACCATAAGAAAGAGCATTTGTATTGAAATTCTCTGCCATTGAGATCTATAACGAAGCTAGTAGAGACTTGTTTGGCTCAGATCCCAGTCCTCTCAGGCTTCTGGATGATCCAGAGGTCAAATCTCAACTATCTTCATGCTTCAATTTTGCCGATCGTGGTGGTGGCGCCATCCGATGCGTGGAAGATTAAGCGGCGGTATCGGAGAAGGCGGTGGCGCTCCATGACGCCGAGTTGCAGAGGGAAGTCGAGTATAATTATAATATTTATGTTTTATTTATTTTTTAATTTATGGTGATAATGAGGTGGAAATTATAAAGAGATTAAATTTTATTTTTTATAATTTTTTAATTGTCACGTCACATATTTAACGGTCAATTATTAGAGTTGACTGTCACATCAGCGAAAGTTAACGGAGGCTAACGGAGAGTGACCAAACTTGAACGGTTGAAATAATTTTAGTGACCATGAATGGAATAAACTAATTTTAGTGGCAAACATGAAACTTTTTAGTAATTCCAGTGACCAAACTTGCAATTTACCCATATAAAACTCATTAAGGTATCGAGTGTAAATGGAGTAGAGATCCGCCTAAGTACCTCAGTTTTTCTCTTGGGGCGAAACCGAATGAAACCTCGACATGGGATGATATTGTGGAAAGGTATCAACAAAGGCTAAGTGGATGAGGAAGCAGAAATCTGTAGGGCTAGGCTGGTTATGATTAATTCTGTTCTTTCTAGTACTCCGAGGTACTTATTCTCCCTCTTAAATGCTCCTAGTTCGGTTGTGAATGAGTTGGAGAGATATCAAAGAAGATTCTTGTGGAGTGGGAAGACAGACGGTCATAAAATGGCTCTTGTGGATTGGAAGTTGTGTAAAACGCCCATTAAGGAGGGGGGACTTAGGATTCATGATCTGAAGATGGTTAATGATGCGTTGCTATCGAAATGGTCGTGGAAGTTCGCGGCGGAGAGGGGAAGTTGGTGGCTGGAATTGGTTAACTATAAGTATCCGAATCAAGTCTCTTGTTGGCAGACTAGAAGGACAAGAGGAGGTTTTTACAGGTCGGTGTGGGCGAACATCAGTAAAGAGTATGATCAGTTCTGGAAATTTGTTGTCATTGATACGGGTAATGGTACTCAAGTCTCCTTCTGGCATGATTGTTGGATCCCTGGGACCGTGCTGGTTGCCTCGTATCCTCGCGTTGCTGCTGTTGTCCTTGACTTAGAAGTTCTACTTTCCGACACTATGAGAATCAATGGTGAGTCGGTGAGTTGGAATTTTAGTTTCAGATACACTTTGAGGGGTGGGGCAGATAGGGAAAGGGATAATTTAATAAATCTTTTAAATGCAATGAATTTGGTGTATACATCCTCTAGTTCGTGCAGGATCATGTGGAAACCAACGGCGGACTTGAATTTCTCTGTGAGATCCATGTACAGGGATTTGGCAGCTAATGATTTAAGGGGCAATGAGGAGTCTCCAGTTGAGAAAGTTTGGAAATCATGGATTCCTAGCAAAATATGTTTCTTTCAATGGCTTGTCTATCACAGCAAAGTTCTTACTTTAGATAATCTGAAGAAGAGAGGAATTTGTCTTGCCAATAGATGTTGTCTTTGTATGAAGAATGAAGAATCTACTTATCATATCTTTATGGAATGTGAGTTTGTCAAGAATACTTGGAGGATAGTTTATTGTAGAAGGAGTTTGACCCGAGATGGGACGGAGAGATTAGACAAGTAATGTCTAATTGGCCTGCTGCAGATGGAGAAAGAATTGAGCAGTGGTTCGATGGTTGTATCTGTCATGCCATTTGGAGGGCTGTTTGGCTCGAGAGGAATCAACGGTTGTTCGAGGATAAAGGGATGCATGCATTGGTGGTAGGAAAACAGGAAGCTAAAAATGCTATAGAATGGATTGTGGCTAAAGGTAAAGTGCAGGCGGTAGAGGGATCTAGATGGTTGTCTGAGCTGGGATTAGTGTAGTAACGCTGGTTTTCGGGTTTGATTGTGGGTTTGGGAGGGAGTATGGAGGAGGCTGCGAGAGGATGGAATTGGAGTTGTAAACCGTGCAATACAGGGGATCGAGTGGTTTATTGCTCGGCCTTGGGGGTGTTGTTGTTCCCTGCTGCAGGACACCCCTTGTTGGTGTGTCGATTGAGTCTGAGGTGTGGTTTAGATGGGTATAGCTTGTCTGGTGTTCCGCTAGGTTGGGATGTTCATTTCTGTGTGTTTGTTATGTGGTGCACGCAGGGGTGGCTTCGTACACCTAGCGTGGGTTGTAGGTGAGGCTTTGTTGTGTGTCTTCTTTCTTTTTCTCTCCCTTCTTCTTCTTTTCTGGTTAGGATCATCTCTCTTGATCCATATACTTTCTGTTCATTTCATTTTGTTTAATAGATCATCGCCATTATAAAAAAAAAGTCACTCACCCCTCTCCTAGCCCTTTTATGTTTAGACAAAGTTACAGCTTCAGAAATTTACCCACTAGAAATGGAAGAATTGTTGATCAATACGGCAAATCGGGAGGTTTTGTATTGATGTCAATGAAGAGTAAGAGAGCGGTATAAGATCCAGCATAACCTTCTTCCAACAACTCGAGTTATTGTGATCAACTGGTTCTTGACTTGGTATCAGAGCCTTATGTGGCCGAGAGGTCTTGTGTTCAAATCTCGGTGATCCCATTTGTGAAGTACATGTATTTTCGTTTTCAGGATATGTGCAAACGAAATCCCTTACGAGATGATTGGCTTTCGTTTGAGGGGGTGTGTTAGTGAGTAATATATGATCCACGATTGAACCTCTCCCAACAACTCGAGTTATTGGGACCAAGCTTTCGTTTGAGGGGGTGTGTTAGTGAGTAATATATAATCCACGTTTTAACCTCTCCCAACAACTCGAGTTATTGGGACCAACTGATTTATGACATGGTATCAAAGCTGGTTTGGCCAAGTGGTCGTGTGTTCGAATCTCCACGACCCCCAATATTAACAGTTGCTTAAAGCACAAGGTATAGTGGGCCTGTGCAAACTTCAAGCCCGTGAGTTGGCTTTCATTTGAGGGGATCAAATGGTTCTTGACAAAGAGTACTTGGGGCTTTTGAGCCTTACCGCTTATGACCTTTATTTAGCCTTAATCGATGCTCTTAACTGAAAAAACTTGGATCATGCATCTATACAAGCCAATCACAATCCATTTCCATTTGTCAGAAAGATCTCACAGGCGTTAGCCATCGTTGAATCGGACAATTGCGGATCCTTCTCAGACATACTTAGGAAACGTATCTATATCTATCTATATATACTATATATAAAGCAAATTCATGGGTTGGATTTTCTCCATTTTGAGCAACCAGAGTGAAAGTAGGAAGGGTATTTTTGTCTTCACAATTTGTTATTTATTTTGTATAACAATATACCAGCACCAATATTTGAACCATGGTCTTTTTAAACAAAGACAAGTATAACCAATTACACTAAAAAAATATGTTGTGTACTTTTTATTACAAACCATACACGAAGTTAAAATCTGTAAAACATATGACTTTTGCATAATAATAAGCTAGCTCATTAAGTCTCTTGTAAGTATTATTATGATGCTTGATACTTCAATTTTTATATTTGATTATTTTAGTTCTAGACTATCCTCCAATCTATAAAATATATGAAGGAGATTCATGGGTTAAATTTTCTTAATTTCAAATATCCTGCAACCATAGTGATTTTTGGAAGGAAAAAATGTCATTTACCACACTTTAATTGGAATGCTTCGTTTAAACATTTATGTTGGGCTTTAAATTTGTCGCACTGATTTTAGCGTTTCCGCCAGACTTTGAATTCGTTGGGGTACTATTTCACTTTCTAATTTATTTTTTATTTTATTGTTATGCTGCTAGAGGGACGCAAACTCTCCCAACCTCTAAACCTAGATAAGAGGAAACAAAGAGGAAGAAATCTCGCAGCCATAACTTTGTCACCAACTCGGCCGTTCTTGGGACCTCTCCATGGAGCCTTCAACACCTTTCCTATCAGACAAAGCTAATCAAGGAGCACCATAGAGGTCCAATAAGTCTCCCCTGATCCGTGTTTCGCTTTGCAACCACACCTGCATTATGAGAGTTGGAGATCCCAAGAGATGCTACTGAAAAAATTATCAAACTTTGTTAACAATACTCTTCGAGAAACAACATTCGAAAAACAAATGATCCTAGGCTCACTATTGGCATGGCATAAAATGCATCTATCTTCATTTAATTTACCCCACCGCATCAACTTTACCTTGGTTATCCATGGCCACAATCCATGCTATGATACTCTAAAGCGGCACGTAGAGTTTCCTCTAGAGAAGAGCAGACCAATATTGTTTCACAGGACGTATCGTATCCCAGACTGCGCTCACTGAGCAGTTGGGCATCAATTTCACGTTCCAAAATCCTTCATCACCCTGTTTCCTCATAAACGACTGCACAGTTGGCCGAAGCTTCAGAATTCGTCTCCACGCCCAATCTTCTCTATTTTCACCGTCAAACAATAAAAGGATGGTGCGTTTTCCATAAATCCAATTATCAAACCAAACTACACATGAATGAAAAGGTAAGTTATCATTATTCTAATAAAATCTCCAATCTTGAAGATTCTACTTTCATTTTCGCTTCCATAATATATATGGTACTAATCGTTGGTTACAATTTACTTCAATATAATTTTGGCCTTTAGATTAATCTAACGGTTTTATTAGGTCGTATTAAAATGACAATTTAATATGATTTGGATTACGATACAAAACCCAGCATAAAAAAACTCTACAAAATCCCAACCATAGAACCATTTATCGAACTAACATGTATTTTTAACAACAATAGAGTTATTTTTAACAATTATGATATTAGTTTATATTATACGACTTAGTACCTATTGCATCTTGTGTGATGTTAACAATTATCATAATCAACATAAATGTTCATTTATAAAATAATTTAGGGCTAATACCACTACAACACCACAAAGCTTGACGAATCCAGGTCGTATGAGGGTTGATTTTATTTTTATTTTTTGGTTTCTAGGTTGTTCTACGGAGATTCGCTAGTAAATCAAGGTGTTGTTGGACGGAGGTGCCGGCGGATCTGGGTTCGCAAGAAGCGAGGTCGCCGATATGGGGGTTCCTTGCTGCTCCACTTTTGGGATGTTCTTGGTCGACCGACGATACTTATAAGCTCGGAATCGAAAGCAAGCAAGAAACCCAAATCGGAGAAACTGGCTTCCCGACACCCGCTGATACTCCGAATCGGACCTCGAAAGCAAGCAAAGAAACCCAAATCGGAGAAATTGGCTTCCCGACACAGCAGCACCAACAGTGTCAAGGAGACCAAGGGATTGCGACGGCGACGATGGTGGTAACCTAATCGATCGAATTTTGAATCTGACCTCCATTGCCCGATCTTAGCAGGCTCGTTGCTCATTTGGATCTTTCAACCATAAATTCAAGTTGAAGAGGCAGAGGATCATGAACTGGATCTCTTTGGCGAGGATGGGGGAAGAAGAGTTGGAGGCAGTGCGGGAGCTAGAGGGACAAGATTTGGTGGAGGTTGACCCATCGAAGTACTCGCCAGCAAGGAGGCGGTGATGGTTGGAGAGTAAGATGTAATTTTCGGCGCCGGAGAAGACGAAGAGGTGTAGGCCCGCTCGTCGGCCGCCGCCATCCTTGCTCGATTCGAGTTCGGCGTCGATGGTCAAAGGCGCAGCGCACGCCGTCGGCCGTCATCCTCTCCAGATGCGGTTAACTCGATTGGTGATGCCAGTAATCGCAGTGCACCGTTAACCGCATTGTGCGGTTAGCAGTTAACCACTAATCGTAGCAAGTGCGGTCGCGGTTGGCTAATATGAGGACTTTGCGGTTGCAGTTAACTGCAAATTGTGGTTCAATTAACCGCACCGTTTCCCACCCCTAGCTGAAGTGGTTCGAGTTTGGTGAACTCGAAATACTCCTTTGAAATTTCTAACCTTAACTTTGTGCTCGATTATCCGATCGTGCAAAAAAAAATTCATTCGCATAACTTTTCGAGGACTACAACTTTTATCATAGAAATATTTTCATAATATATGTGGAAATTTGACAATTAAAAGTAAAGTTATTCCCAAAAATATTCCTATTTTGTAAATTTTATCCTAGTAAATGTTGTAGTACTCAAAAAATTATGCAAAGTGAAAAAAAACTTTGCAACGTTCAGCTTGCAGAGCACAAAGTTATGATCCTCCAAAGTTTGACAAAATCCAAAATTTGCTCTTTATGGGTAGCAAATGACGTTTTATCAGAAGATGGTCATCCAAAAATTGCTCGTTTGGCGAAAAGATCCTATAAATAATAAAAAATTCACGTGCCTTCGCCCCCGAGAAAAAGTCATTTGCTTCCCCTAAACGAGCAATTTTTTTTATTTTGCCAAACTTTGGAGGATCATAACTTTGTGCTCCGCAATTCGAATGTCGCAAAGTTTTTTATTTTATTTTTGTATTTCATAGTTTTTTTAGTACTACAACATTTACTAGGAAGAAATTTTCAAAATAGGAATATTTTTTAATATAAGGGGTATTGGGAATAACTTTACCTTTAATTTTCACATTTACACATATATTCTGAAAATATTTATATGATAAAAGTTGTAGTCCTCAAAAAGTTATGCATAATGAAAAAAAAACTTTTCTACGATCGGATAACCGAGTACAAAGTTAAGGTTGTTGGAAATTTCAAAGGAGTAGTTCGAGTTCACCAAACTCGAACCACTTCAGCAAATGGTAAAGGAAACCGGATCGTACCGGCCGGTTCAACCGATAAAACCGGCAATCCGAATGTCGCAAAGTTTTTTTTTTTATTGCATAGTTTTTTTAGTACTACAACATTTACTAGGAAGAAATTTTCAAAATATGAATATTTTTTAATATAAGGGGTATTGGGAATAACTTTGCCTTTAATTTTCACATTTACACATATATTCTGAAAATATTTATATGATAAAAGTTGTAGTCCTCAAAAAGTTATGCAAAATGAAAAAAAAAAACTTTGCTACGATCGGATAACCGAGTACAAAGTTAAGGTTGTTGGAAATTTCAAAGGAGTAGTTCGAGTTTACCAAACTCGAACCACTTCAGAGTTCAGCCCCACATGGTTCGAGGCTTACATTGTCGATCTACGTTTAAATCGAGTCCCTTAGACTCGAACAGTCAGTAGTTCGAGTTCCTCAAATTCGAACCACTTCAAACTTAGGTATTGGGGGGGGGGGGGAATTATAAGTGCGGTAGTGTAAGAATTTTTTTGAATTTTATATATATTTAGGGAATTTTTCCCAAAACATTTGCAGGGTGTTTGAGAAGAAGAGAATTGTTCTTTAAGGGAAAAAGTGGAGAGTTGAAAAGTGTGGAAAAATGAATATGAGATGTTTTATTTAGGGTTAATACCTTATTATGGCCTGAACTATGACCATCTAATCAAATTTGGCCCGTGGTTTGAAAAATTAACATCCTGGCCCGAACTATGCAGCATATAGACAGAATTGGCCTGGAGCGTGGTTTGACCGTTTGTTTGGATCATTGACCGTTAGTCAACTGTGCAGATCACTGCCACGTCAGCACAAAAAAAAATATTTTCATTTTTTATTTTATTTCCTTTATAAAATTGAATAATAACAAAAAAAAAATAAAAACAAAATTCGGCCACCCATCCCCACCTTATCCCCTCGCCTTCTTTCCTTTTCGATCAGAACACAAAAAAAACCTAACCATTATTCTTCTTCCTCCTTCTTCCCCGACGACCCGCCGCCTCCAATTCTCTCCGATTCAAATGCAGCGGCGGCCTTCTCAAATGTTAGCAAATTACAAATGACAAGGCACAACAGCATTTGCCAAGTCCTTCCAAGAACCGCAGTGATGAAACAAAACAAAAACGATGAACATCAAGAAACAGAAAGAGGACAGGACATTTACGCAAAATAAAAATCATTGAAGCATTGAAAAAAGAAAAGAGGAAGGAAGTTAGCACTTTCTCTACCAACTACAAGCAATCGCAGCAGCTGCAAAATCCTACCAAGAGCCGCCGGAGCTTTCCACAAAATTGAAAAAATAGATCGACCACAATAAAGAAGAAAAAGAGTACAACCCAGCCCTTCCATCATAGCCGGTCGTTGTCTACTGCTCATCTTAGCCAGACGACATCAGCTGTAGCCACCCTTTCGTGTCTCTCGTCGTCATCAAATTAGTCGAAAAACAACAACAGAGAAGGAAAAAAGAGAAGTTGCAAAGTTCCCCACTAGCGAACAACAAAAAGAAGTCAAATCTCCAGCAACATAACAAGGAGTCAAGGACAAAGGACATCAGCAGCTCATCTTCGTCATTCACCATTCATCTTCGCTAGTATCGGGCGAACAACAAAGCTCTTCGCCGTCAACGGTCACCGGACAGTCACTTGTCTCCGCCAACAGAGCAGTCGTTGTTGGCCTTTCTCTACTCCAGTCATCTCCAAAAACAGGTGGTCCCCACTTCCGAAAAGAAACAGTCACCCACTTGCCCTAATGTTTAGTTGCGTTGGGCTCGAGAAAGGTTGAAAGGTTCTCTCCGATTCCAAATATTAGCAATGGAGGCGGCGGTCGTCGGGGAAGAAGGAGGAAGAATAATAATGGTTAGGATTTTTTTGGGTTCTGATCGAAAAGGAAAGAAGGCGAGGGGACAAGGTGGGGATGGGTGGCCGAAATTCTTTTTATTTTTTTCGTTATTATTCAATTTCATAAAGGAAATAAAAATAAAAATGAAATTATAATTTTTTTTTGTGCTGACTTGGCAGTGACCTGGACTGTTGACTAACGGTCAATGGTGTTGACCGTCCAAACAAACGGTCAAACCACGCTCCAGGCCAATTCTGTCTATATGCTGCATAGTTCGGGTTAGGATGTTAATTTCTCAAACCACGGGCCAAAATTGATTACATGGTCATAGTTCAGGCCATAATAAGGTATTAACCCTTTTATTTAATTTTCCACTCCTGAATCTTTGACGGACGATTTCTCACTCGTTTTAAGTCGAAATTTAATTTTTTTTACATAGTTAGATCAGATTAATTGTGCTCTTCAAAATGATATCCACTTTGATATATTTTTCAAACAAAAAAAATTGAGCCATTTTTTACTAGTCTATACCATATGGTATTGACTGGTATTGAAATAAGAGCATACATATTGTTTGAAAAGCGTATCATGGTGGTATGAACAAACCAAGACTGTAGGATGATTGAATACATGATAGTAGAAATATATTAACGGTCATTTACGACTTTTAACATTTTGTACCATAAGATACCACCCCGTACCAGGGTGGTATTGTGTGGTATTTTTTGGTATTGTAATTTTTTCACCCTGAAATTTGTAGATCCAATAGATCATGATGAACTCATACCTTCTGTGCAAACGTTTTCAAAAACGAATTAAAAACGAAGAAAATACCATATGGTATGTGTTGTGGGTGTAAATATGGCATAGCCCAGCCTAATAGTAAATATGGTCTGCAAGGCACATATGGACCCAAGCCCACAAAGCACCACAAGGCCCAACTGAAGCCCAAAAAAATATCACAATGTTTTCCCTATAAATATGCTCCTAGGTCTTTCAAGTAAGGGACCTCTTCTTCCCCTCTACTCATTTTGACAGATCACTTATCTCTCTACAATCTCTCTCTACCTAAGATCTCCTTATTTCTCTATCATTGTACTAATGTTGATCGTAGGAGTGTAGATAATTGGGGCCATCCCCGCCCTATCACAGACCAGGCGCCTTACTTGTTCCAAGAGAGATGTAAAACCGCCCATAATACCTAAAGCGCCTGAAATACGTGAAAGGTCTCCAAGCGAGATGCAAGGCGCCCATAATACCTAAAGCGCCCGAAATACTTGAAAGGTCTCCAAGAGAGATGCAAAGCGCCCATAATACCTAAAGCGCCCGAAATACTTGAAAGGTCTCCAAGAGAGATACAAAGCACCCGAAATACTTGAAAGGTCTTCAAGAGAGATGCAAAGCGCCCATAATACCTAAAGCGCCCGAAATACTTGAAAGGTCTCCAAGGGAGATGCAAGGCGCCCATAATACCTAAAGCGCCCGAAATACTTGAAAGGTCTCCAAGGGAAATGCAAAGCACCCGAAATACTTGAAAGGTCTCCAAGAGAGATGCAAAGCGCCCATAATACCTAAAGCGCCCGAAATACTTGAAAGGTCTCCAAGAGAGATGCAAAGCGCCCATTATACCTAAAGAGCCCGAAATACTTGAAAGGTCTCCAAGGGAGATGCAAGGCACCCATAATACCTAAAGAGCCCGAAATACTTGAAAGGTCTCCAAGAGAGATGCAAAGCGCCTATAATACCTAAAGCGCTCGAAATACTTGAAAGGTCTCCAAGGGAGATGCAAAGCACCCGAAATACTTGAAAGGTCTCCAAGAGAGATGCAAAGCGCCCATAATACCTAAAGCGCCCGAAATACTTGAAAGGTCTACAAGGGAGATGCAAGGCACCCATAATACCTAAAGCGCCCAAAATACTTGAAAGGTCTCCAAGAGAGATGCAAAGCGCCCATAATACCTAAAGCGCCGGAAATACTTGAAAGGTCTCCAAGGGAGATGCAAAGCACCCGAAATATGTGAAAGGTCTCCAAGCGAGATGCAAGGCGCCCATAATACCTAAAGCACCCGAAATACTTGAAAGGTCTCCAAGAGAGATGTAAAAGCGCCCATAATACCTAAAGCGCCCGAAATACTTGAAAGGTCTCCAAGCGAGATGCAAGGCACCCATAATACCTAAAGCACTCGAAATACTTGAAAGGTCTCCAAGAGAGATGTAAAAGCACCCATAATACCTAAAGCGTCCGAAATACTTGAAAGGTCTCCAAGGGAGATGCAAAGCACCCGAAATACTTGAAAGGTCTCCAAGCGAGATGCAAAGCGCCCATAATACTTAAAGCGCCCGAAATACTTGAAAGGTCTCCAAGGGAGATGCAAAGCACCCGAAATACGTGAAAGGCCTCCAAGGAGTATTTAAAGCGCACGTAATACCCAAAGCACCCGAAGTACTTAAAAGCGCCCATGATACTTGCAAGTTCTCTATGGGAATGCAAGATGTTCATAGTACCCAATAGGGGTTCAAGGGAGAAGCGAGGCGCTCGCAATATCTCAGAAAACGCATAGCAAAGTGTTAGGCACCCGCAACACCAAAGTCAATAAAGACGTTATAATAGAGGCGCATAAAGGAAGCACTTTGAGGTTAAGGCGCTTCCTTTCTAGCCTCCAATAATACATCTCAAGGAATAAGCTAAGTGTTTTCTGTCTCTACTCGAGTTATATTCCTAGTTATTGTATGAACCAAAATTTGTTGCATTCTTTAGTATATTTGTTATCATTATTCTGTGTAATTGATATGGTAATGGGGGACATGAATTGGGGGACAAAACACCAAATGATCTTACGTAAAACTTGACAAGTCAGAGGATTTTAGTTAGTCGTCCAGTGCATCACTAGGCGCCTAACTGGGGGACACTTGGGGGGTAACATATGCATGCGCATTCAGGATATTTTCTAAGGCAAACAAATCTTTAATTATGTGCCGAAAAATGTCATAGCCTCGTTAGGCATCATATGTGCAGTAAATAGTTTTATCTCATTGCTTGAGTTATATCCCTAACCGTGTTATGAGTCGCATTATGTTACATTGTTCTTTCTCTCCATGGTTCTTGCTCCGGGGTCTTAAGCTATTATGATCATGGGGGGCATGGATCAACTAGCAGAGTAAAAAGAGGCACATGCACGTCATATGCCAGATGTAGAGGCTAAACAAGTTTGACAACATGAAGACTTCTAGTTAGGCATCCAGTGTACCACTTAATACCTAACTGGGGGACAATTGTTGGGGGTGTAAATATGGCATAGTCCAGCCTAATAGTAAATATGGTCTGCAAGGCACATATGGACCCAAGCCCACAAAGCACCACAAGGCCCAACTGAAGCCCAACAAAATATCACAAGGTTTTACCTATAAATATGCTCCTAGGTCTTTCAAGTAAAGGACCTCTTCTTCTCCTCTACTCATTTTGAGTTTTTGACAGATCATTTATCTCTCTACAATCTCTCTCTACCTAAGATCTCCTTATTTCTCTATCATTGTACTAATGTTGATCGTCGGAGTGTAGATAATGGGGGCCATCCCCGCCATTTCACAGACCGGGCACCTTACTTGTTTCATGGCTGAAACAGTATGCAGTTGGTACCGAGAGGCCAGAATTTTTAGTTCTAAAAAAATATTGAAAATTGATCTCATTTTGTAGAGCACGATGAACTCGTTCCACCTGTGCAAAAAAAAAAATCCGAGTTAAAACGAAAAAGATATGAGCCGATTAAGAAATTTATGGAAAATAAAAATGGACTTTAATTCTCCATATTTAGATCTGGATTTTCTAAATAAAGGGTCCTGATTTGGTTATTAATGGATGCATAACCCATGGTTGTGCACCCTATCTTGAGCCCTTATAAACCATATACTAATTTTTCCTGATTTTTAGAAGAGTTTTTATGCTATGATGACAATCTATCATAATAATATTTTAAGAATTCATGGTTGAGAATTCAAACTTCTGGAAATATGAACATAAAGAAATAGTCTTGTTAGTGCGTAATAAAGTCACCGTCTTCTTGGTAAACATGTGTATAATTGATGACTTTATTAAAAGACCAATTAATAATTACAAAGGGGACGAGACGACCCATAGCCCATAACCCCAAGCTCTCACGCGGAAACACAAAAACGAAGCAGTCAGTCGCATTCCTCCGGCGGCCGAACAAGAAGAATCAACGCTCCATCGCCACTTCTTTGTATAAATTCCCACGAATTGAACCCCCTTAGAACATCAACTCAGCAAACCATTTCTCTCCATCAAGAAAACAGAGTAAACAAGAAACAGAGCATCCTAACAGAAACAGGGGAGACCAATCTTTCTCGGAGAACACAACAATGGCGGTGTCGAGATTAGCTCTCGCAGCAATCGTGATTGCCGCTCTTCTCCATAGCTCCGCCGCTCAGACTACCCACACAGTCGGAGGAACCACCGGATGGACCATCCCTCGGGGCGGCGAATCGGTTTACTCCAACTGGGCTGCCGGCAATTCCTTCGCCGTCGGAGACATTCTCGGTAAGAAAGCCTTTTAGTACAGAAAATTTTTAACGATCGGAATCAAATAAATTTCTAATCTTTTTTGTTCTTTTTCCTTCAAAATTAGTGTTCAATTTCGCTGCTGGAGCTCACGATGTGACGCAAGTTAACAAGGCCGACTACGACTCCTGCTCGGCGGCCAATCCTATGATGACTTCGACAACCGGTCCGGCGAGAATCACCCTGAGCTCATCCGGCGAGCATTACTTCATCTGTGGCGTCCCCGGCCACTGCAGCGCCGGCCAGAAGGTCACCGTCAATGTTCTTGCTTCCACTACTGCGTCTTCCCCTGCTCCGGCTCCCGTGACGCCTTCTTCCCCAGCTCCCCGTCGCGCTCTCACCCCTACCTCTGCCCCGACTCCATCCACTTCCCCTGTTTCCGGCGATTTCCCGTCGTCAGCACCTGCCCGGACTCCTTCGACTTCCCCTGTTTCCGGCGATGTCCCCACGTCAGCACCGGCTCCTTCTGCGAGGAGCCCGATGACTTACACCGTCGGCGATTCTTTCGGGTGGAACATTCCCACTAACGGAGCTACTCTGTTCCAAAACTGGGCTGCCGGCAAAGACTTCATGGTCGGCGATATCCTTGGTAAGTACAAAGTAGTACTTAATTAACTTAATAATTGCATTAAAGTAATTAATTAGGGCTTCGATTGGGGTACAAAACTCCGACGTGCAAAACTCCTGATTGTATCTTCGAATCATGACATAATGATACGCCACGAATTTTGCAGGAGGGTTTTTTACGGTGTCCGCTCCCGTTAATTAGACTAATAATTATCAAAATGATTTCTTCAATCATAATTTAATTTGTTCCGATTTTTTTTTCTTTTCTTTCTACAGTCTTCAACTACACCGCCGGAGCACACAACGTGGCGGAAGTGATCAGCGACGCCTACACGGCGTGCACAACGACCAATCCGATCTCCCTGGACAGCAACCCGCCGTCGAGAATCACGCTGACCACCGCCGGCGAGCACTTCTACCTTTGCGCCGTTCCCGGGCATTGCTCCGCCGGCCAACAGCTTTCCATCAATGTCGCCGGCGCAGCCAGCTCCACCCCTGGTACCCCATCACCGTCAGGGTCGACCACTCCCTCGTCCCCTGCCGGTGACGTGGCTCCACCGTCGCCAAACTCCGCCACCTCCGTCGCCGGAGTGTCGGCCGCCGCGTTTTTGTCCGTTTTCGTGGCTCTGTTGTTATAGATGGAGTGATCACTAGACACATTTCAGCCCGGAATGTGATTTTTTTATATATATATTGTATTCTTGTGTTGGTTATTGGTTGTTATATAGATTGTATTTCTCACATACATTATATTAATAAAGGAAATTTTTGGAGCTCAAATCATCAAAAACCCATTTTCTTTCTTGCATCTACAATTTACCCGTGATCAACCCAAGTGTGGTCGAGAGGCTATGCCGTCCAAAAGGACTGAAATACCGTATAGTATCGTACCGGCGGTTCAATCAGAAAAACCTTCTATATATGGAGGCTAAATCGGTAGGCGGTATGAAGCAGTTGAACCATAGTTAAACCACGATTTTAACATAAATAACTTACCGCGGACTTTTCCAGTACAACCTCCGGTACGATATTTCAATCCTTGCGTCGAATTTTAAACTTAAAGATCCTTATTTTAAAATCCATAGCTCGCAACTCTTCTTCTCCATTCTACTCGTGGTCTCTGGAAATTTTTAGACTTTGGTTTTGAGTTGCTAGTCTACTTTCACTAAGGATTGATTGTTAGGCTTCATTGCTCAACAGATAACTCGTTGAGTCACTAAGGGCGGGTTGTCCTTCCTTTTTGAGTTCCTTCGAAACATCCTATCTTTGAGGGGTTCTTTAAAGACATTCGAGTTGTTGGAGGCAAAGTACTCTTATGTCCATATTCTTTTGTTATTTTCTAAAATCAAAATAAAGTGCTAAATAAACCTACTATATTAACATAATTTTTTTCAATAAAGAGCATCCCTCACACTTGGAAAGAAGCTTTTAGTTTCATAAACTAATGGTATGATTGACTACTTAGCCACATATCATGTCAAATGGCATCTTTCCAGTGTACATTTACCAATACAAATATACAATCAACCAAATATCTACTATTTAGGGACCGCATCAAACCTGAGTAGAGATTATGCATCCTCTCTCCTTTTTCTCTCCCTCTCCAGCTCTGATATCAAGAGCCTCTACAGCTACCATCGAAGGAGCCTTCAATTTTCCCAAATCAAGTGCTTGCAAAACCCTTAAGAGAGCAAAAGAAGATCACAACGCAGTTAAGAAAGGGATTCGAAGCATTGAAGAAGGGCCTTGTCATGGCAGACCTACAACCAATGAGGGTATCACCATCACAGAAGAAGACCTCAGAGACGCCACTATTCCACCGCCCAAACCACCTGAACAGAGGTCAATCAGAAAGCAGCAGAGGAAATCAAGCATCAGCACCAAAGGAAGTAAATGCTCTGAGATTTGGAAGGTTGAGGAAGCAATATTTATTGCAATCTCTTCAGGTAGATCCCAGCTTATCAGAGCGACATAAAGAATGTACTGCCACGGAGCACCCGAGAAAGAGACAAGGGCAGGCTGCCCAGCAATCATGAGTACCCAGAAGCATAAATGCTCGAAGAGAGATAAAGAAGGAATTAAGTTCACTGTGAATAGCTATCCGCCGAGATCTACATGTAAAGCTCAAATAGCAGAAGAGAAAGTCAAAAGAGGGGGTAGAGCGGCCGATAGCTGCCACCATAAATGGGAATTAATAGAATACACGGCAGGAAGATCGATCGGAGTTGAAGGAACCATGGTGCAATTAATGCTCAGAGAACCTAGTGAGACACAGAGTCGTACCAATCGACGTATGAGGATCCTAAGGGCCTATTTAAGGGAAGCGAAACCGACTGAACAATCATCTTTTCACCCATCCATCCACGACTCAGCAACCTTTGTCAAGAGAGCCTCAGATAGTCCAACATCAACTCATACACACTGCAAAAGGAAAAATCCCAGTCAACCAAAAATGGAATCACAATACAAGAGCCTACGAGGGGAGAAGAGTCATCTCGTCCTCAATATGAGGCCTACCATTGTTGGTGCTCGAGGCAGTGAGATGGCCATGCTTCTGGGAAAATGGATCATCGATACCAGCATCAACCTACCAAAAGCAAGAAATGCGGCAGTCAACAAGTGGAGAGCCTATGGAGAAGTACAAGCAACAAAGGAGGCTGAGAACCTGTTTGTCTACTCATTCCAGTCAACCAAGCAAAGAGACGTTGTTTTGGAGGCCAGGCCATGGAACCTAAGCAACACCCTTGTTGCACTGAAGAAATGGGATGGTGAACAAAAGGCGGAACCAGCAGACATACCAATTGTTACCCTATGGGTCCAGATGCATGATCTCCCCCAAATCCCTCAAAGATGAGGAAGCAGTGCAGGCAGTTGCGACCTTCATTTTCCCTCAATTCCACTGTATCGACCAGTCGAACTTCGACTTCAGGGGCTGGTTGAAGTTTATCAGAGCCAAGGTGGAGGTGAGCATTGATGATCCCATCCCTATTGGGTTTGAATACCCGGTCGGGGATCGTTCCATCTGGGTCAGTTTCAAGTATGAAAGGATAATGGATCTTTGCTACTTCTGTGGGAGGCTTGGGCACCTGATCCATAACTTTCTGGAGAGGGAAGAGCACAGAAGGATGGGGCTTACCACCGACCCGTCGGAAGTCTACACCGATGCACTAAGAGCTGGCCACGACTCACCGGCGAATACCCCACCGGCGTCCTTCAGAGAGAAGCTGGCGAACTCTAAACGCTTGGCAAACCCAACCCCGGTGACACAACAAATCTGCGGCAATCGAGGCAAATCTTCTCAGATTACCCTAGCGGGACTCCCAATACTGGGACCCTTCAACAACCCACCTGGGTACGCCAGTCTGACTAGCAGTGGGAAGGAGCCAGGCTGGGTCTTCAGAGGAGAAGGCAGCTCCCCAACACCGTTTCTGCATACTGCTTTTCTGGAAATGGAAATGGAGGCTACGACCAGAGCTATGCAACGGAGTCTCGACCTAGGGGAGAAAGAGGCCAACAGAGATAAGATGGTGGGCCTCTTTGACATGGGCCAATCGCTCTCCTTGGCCAGCCCTTCCTTTAGTCAAACTGAAGCCCCTCGAGGCCCAATTATGTTGACCCAACTTAATCAAGGCAGCACCAACCAAGGGAGCAGCTACCAGACCCAGTCCCATAACCTGGTGACAGAGCCCATTGGAATCTCAACCGAGTTTGACCCACCCAGACCGGAGAAGAAAAGGAAGCCTGAGGCCAGAGTCAGTCCTGTGGCATCATCCCAGCAACAGGAAGCTCCATCTAACATTTCTTTTAGTTCTCTGTCTTTTGTCCCAGGGGAGAGTAAGCGAACCTACCAGAGAAGGAAGCACATCACCAGGAGGAAAAGCCTGGCGGAGATCACGGCGGAAGGATGCCAATCCGGAGAAGGGGAATCTACCACTCCGAGGGCGACGGCGGCAAGCCTCAAGCCGCCTCATCCAGAATGAGAATCCTAAGCTGGAATTGTAGGGGGTTTGGCCAACCCCTTACAAGGAGTTATTGCGGCAGGCTGTGTCGTCAATTTGGCCCCTCGGTTCTCTTTCTTATGGAGACAAGGAAGGAAGATTCGTTTATGGAAGCAAGGATAAGAGTTATGAAGTTTGATCACTCAGATTATGTCGGTCCAGAGAGGGAAGGTAGTGGCCTTTCCCTATGGTGGAAAGATGATGTTGTTGTCTGTGTTTTAGAATCTCGTAAGTCCTTCATGGACACCAGTATTAGCAAGGATGGGGTTAGTTTCTACTGCACTTTTTTTCACGCTCCTACCACGGCGGTAGAGAGAAGACAATTATGGGATCGACTTACGACCCTTAGGTCAAATCAGGAAGATAGGTGGCTTGTGGTTGGGGACCTCAATGTTGCTGTTTTCCCTTTTGAGAAGCAGGGAAGGTGCCCTTTAAGGAATGAAAATGTATGTCCTTTTAAATACTTCTTGGCTCGAAATGCTCTGGTTGATCTTGGTTTTTCTGGCCAAGTGTTTACTTGGAGCAACAAACAGCAAGGGAATGAGCTGATTAGAGAAAGGCTTGACCGGGCTATCTGCTCGACTTCTTGGAGAACAACATTTGAGACGGCAACGGTTTACCACGAAGACTTTGTGGAATCTGATCATTGTCCAATTATGATTGACCTGCATCCAGCAAGTCAAGCTCACTGCACTCCCTTCAGGTTCGACAAAAGGTGGAGGGAGAGCGAAGAGTGCTGTCAAATTATTACGGATCGATGGATGAGAGGTGGGAGTACCAATAATATTCTGATGGACTGCAGAAGGAATTACAGAACTGGGCTAGGACAGACAGGCGAAGTAAATTGAAAAGAGAGAGACATTAGACAAAGACTACAAGTCCTACAAGGGGCAAGTGGCTCCCCGGATAAGTCTTCGGAAGAAAGGAACCTCCAACGAGAATTGGAATCCATCTGGATTTCGGAAGAGTGCTTTTGGGCCTAGAGATCTAGAGTCTCCTGGCTTCAGGAAGGGGACCAGAACTCAGGCTTCTTCCACGCCAGTACCATCAAAAGGAAGAACATGAATCACATCACCAAGCTTAAGGGCGCGGGAGGAATCTGGATTGATAATGCTCATGAATTGAAGGTTCATGCCACAGACTACTATCGTAACCTTTTCACCACCAATGACAGACATTGTGATCCGAGGATCTTGGAGGGATTCCCCAGGTTGGTGATGGAGGAGTTCAATAATGGTTTATGTGCACCAGTGGGGAAGGAAGAGATTCGTAAGGCAGTGTTCCAACTTGGAGCAAACAAGGCTCCAGGTCCTGATGGCTTCCCGGGCCTTTTCTTCAGGAAATACTGGAATACCCTCGGGGACTCCTTCTGCAACGAGATTACAAATTTTTTCCTGACAGGTGTCTTGCCTAAGAACTGGAATGACACTTTCATTACCATCATCCCCAAAGTGGAAGCGCCTAAATTAATCAGTCAGTTCAGGCTGATTAGCTGTTGCAACTTTAGGTATAAGGTCATCACCAAAATCATGACAAACAGACTCCAACCTCTGCTGCCAGAGCTGGTCAATGAACTTCAATCGGCTTTCACAGGGGGGAGACAAATACAAGATAATATCATCATTGTCCACGAGGTCCTTAATCACTTCAAAAAACATAAAACAGGGAACCAAAAGGAGATGATGATGAAGCTTGATATGAGGAAGGCTTACGACCTGGTAGAATGGGATCTTCTGATCACTCTTCTCAAGGCTTATGGTTTCAACGAGGTCTGGTGTGGGTGGATCTTTGCCTGCATTTCCACGGTTGCCTTTAATGTGCTTCTCAATGGTGAGCCAACTGATGATTTCAAGCCAACTAGGGGCATTCGACAAGGGGATCCCCTCTCTCCCCTCCTATTTATCCTGATGTCGAATGCTCTATCGTACATTGAATACAATCAAAAGTATAGTATACATTGAGTAAGAAAATTATATATACAACTTGAATTGACCGGAGTTTGAGACATAGTACTATATTGTACCTTAATCCTTAAAGATTAAAATTTGAGTCTTAATTCTACAAATATCATACAACCAAAAATTATCAATTTATTTTATATTTGTAAAACTTCCCAAAAAAAATATAATTTATATCATAAATTTAAATTGATAATTTTGGTTAATTTATAAAATTTATCATTTTTAAATATTCCAAAAGAATTATTTTACATTTTTAGAATTTTATTTTTTGGTTAATTGGAAAATGATAAATAATAGAAATTAGGAAAATAATTTGAATTTGAATTTTTTTAATGATTTTTATGCTGACTAGGCAATGACATGGCATGTTGACTAACGGTCAACGGAGTTGACCGTCCAAATTGATGGCCAAATTATGTGTCCGGCCAATTGAGTATATATGCTGCATAGTTGAGGCCATGACGTTAATTTCTGAAAACACGGGCCAAAGTTGATTATATGGTCATAGTTCGGGCCAAAATAATGTATTAACCCTTACATTAAAAGGAAAGGGGGTTTATTAAGTTTGGTGAGAATGAAGTTTGGACTTACAGAACAATCCCGCAGGCTTAGAGCATCCCCATCGGTTGTCATGGGGCTCTTTTATTGTGATATGGCATCTCTTCTTTCCTATTTCATGGATGTAGCACTTATTTCACAAAGTGAAAGATTCCACTAAATGAAATAGCAAATGACATAGTGAGTGGGTGGGGAGTGGGCCCCCTTCCATTGTTTTGCTCTTTTGTTTTTTTTTTTCCATTTCTACTTTGATTATTTGAATTGCAAATATTGTGGTTTTGTTTTTAACTTCTATTTATTTTGTTAATTATAATTTAAGACAAAAAATTATTATATTAGGTAAATTGATTAAGTTTTGATTGATTAATTTTTTAAATTATGAAATTGCCATCGAAAATTAAGTACACATACATATATATAGATATAGCAATTTCACAACTACATCCAAATACAAATTA